TCTTAAGCTTGACCACTGAGGGAGCCAATAGCTTCTCCAGCTTTATTTCAGTCTCTTCCTTAATGGAAATGAATCCTAGTTCTAAAGGATCTTCAATGAAAAAACTCTGTATACCACATACAAGAGCTATTACAACTGAATTCCCACGTATTGTGAGGAAACTGGATACAAGCTAGTTTGATGAAGCTGGTGAAACAGATCTAATTAGACAATCCAGCTGCTACTGAACACTGTTGCCTTAGATCTGTAAATTATTCAGTTGCTTTGTGGTTACAGAAGTGAGGCTGTACGAAAGCCCTACCTACAACCCAAGAGCCATTCCTTACTGAATTACTGAATTTCAAACTGCTTTTGAAGTCTGTCTGGTGCTCCTCGTCTACCCTTTTTTCAGATTTAGCACACCAAGCTCTGAAAATTAGGCCTAATTTTCACTCAAGTAATTTTCCTGTCTTTCCTTGCCCTGGCTGATAATGTGCTATGGATCTTAGCATAGGGGTATGCTCTGCAAAACGTCGTAATCATTTTAAATAGTGCAATAAGAAGTCTGATCACAAAAGGAAACACCCTGTCCCAAGACACTCTGAAAATGCCCCTCTACTTTGAAGTGTAACAGTAACAGGCTGCTATTTAGAAGACCCATTCTGAAGCACAGTTTCTTTTCATTGTCACTAGTTACCTACAAGTCCTTTATCAGCAAACATTTCAAGTAGTTGTGTGCACCTCCACTGTATAAGAGAACTGATCTACTACAATCATGACATTGTAATTCTAAAAGTATCTCTACACCATTGACTACATTGACTTTAAAGTCATAATTAGCATACACACAGTATACACCATTCCTCCTTTGTTATGCTCTTTAAAATACCCACCATTTTTTAGTGCTTGCTTCACCCCTTGGGAATATATCTTGTATTTCAAAGTTTTTCAGAAATAGCATGCTATTCACTCATTTTGCTACTTTTCTCCCACCACTGGATTTTTTTGTACTTCTAAGAAATAATTGCAAAAAGTTTACTAGTTTGTTGTTGTTGTTGCGGGGGGTTGGTTTTTTTTCGTCTGGACTATCTGTCATGTAAAGAGCAGTTGGGTTAAGTTCATTGCAGGAGCTGTTCAGAAAGACCAGTTAACAGTAAGTATAGACATTTTACCTGTGATTTTTTCCATTGTTCAGATGAGGGAAAGAGCTCCATCCAGAGACTCAATAAAGTAAAAAGATTGACCTTAGAAAGTCTTGGCATTTGACCTGTCATTTGAAGGAAAAAGGAAATATTTATTAGATAATATTTATAAAGAAACTCCACGTTACTGAACATTGTTTCTCAAGTCTTCTACACCACAGCTGCTACAGAAGCTGGTTCATCAACCCCTTCTGTTTCAGCAGCTAAATCCACATAGTCCTCTTCAGGGCAGTCACTCAGGATGCACACATCTGGATGCAGAGATCAGATCTGTGCAACAAGAGGAAGTGATGAAGCTTTCATTGAAATTCAGTGAATTAATTCTACTAGGAGGTGAAGAGCAGAAATCACAGATCAGATCATCAGATCCCACATAACTGTGCTCAAGTGGTTCACAGATGGTTACAGAATCTGAGACACAGCTGATTCAGCTTCAGGCTCACCACAAAAGAGAGCAGAGACACCTAGGCATGCATCATGATCTTACACTGACACCTGCAGCAAGAGGGGATAGAATCATAGAATCAGCTGGGTTGGAAAGGACCTCTGAGATCATCAAGTCCAACTCTTGATCCAACACTGCTGTGGTTACTAGACCATGGCACTAAGTGCCTCATCCAGTCTCGTCTTAAAAACCTCCAGGGATGGAGAATCCACCACTTCCCTGGGTAGCCATTGTGAAACCTTCCAGTTACATCAGTTGTGGAGATCCTGCTTCTGGACTTTTACTAACCAGATTTTGGTTAGATTTCTACAAAAATTTAAACCTTTTGCTGAGGCTGTCACTTCTGACAAAATAACCAAAGAGGTGGCAAAGAATCCCTTCTTGGACCACCAACTTGCACTGTGCTGTGCTACTACTCAAAATCTGGATGTGGTCCTGTGAGGACCAGTGCTCAGCAGTACTGAGCATCCCACAAAGGAAAAAGGAGGAAGTACTGCACTGCTCGGCAAAGCTTGCACTGTTCCAGATGTGAAGCTGTCTTGCCTCATACTTGGAAAGAAGGTAATTAAGTCTTCAAAAAAGTTCCAGTCCCTATTTCAGGGGTGCTTACAGAGAGCTGTAACGAACACATATTCCTCTGCAGGTCTCACGTGTGCTGTCTGACAATAGTATTATTTCTGGTTTTGTCCTTTCCCACAAACGTTACAGTTTTTGCAAAGGGGGAAAAGGCAGAGACAAGAATAGAATACAATAGAGGAAAACATTCTTTAAGTAGTTCCAGCAGTTTGGAAGAGATATAATCACATACTAAGATTGCTTGGGTGGGGGAGAGGGTTCGTTTAATGACATGTCTGTGAACCAAAACAATTAGGACAGCAGATAAACATATGGAATCCATAACTGAAATACCATTTTCAGACAGTATTTTAGCAGCTTTTTTTTGACACAGAAGTGTGGGTTTGGAAAGCAAATATAGGCCTGTGAGCAGCACCATCTGATGCCACACTGTTCACTACTCCTTAGGCTGTTCGGCTCTGCTATTCCACTGCACACAAGCACTGGAAGGGGTACCAGGTGTGCTCGAAATGTATATGGCAGGCAGCACACACTACTGTCATAGCAGAAGCAGGTACAGTTCCCAGATAGCAGGTTAAAAGAAACAAAGCAACTTATACCAACTCAAACATATACCCTCATGGATTACAATTTGACATACAGAGTAGACTTAGAATAGACCAAAAAAAGTTTTAATTACTGTTTGTTTTCTTGGACCTAACCTGAATGCAACCTGTCAAAACACATGGGAAACAAACTGAAGAATGTACATCACAACATCACTGTTGTGAGTTGACATGAATTTGTAATGAGAAGCAGGAGAATATTATGATGTAAAAGGAAAGACCTGTGGTTACAGTTATTATATCTACGTGTTTGTATCTTTACTCACTTAGGTACTTAAACACTCCTTTAGGTTCAACAGAGTGCAAAGATTGCCGATTAAAGTGAACCAGAAAAAGGCAAAAGACATCTTACAGAATTTAAAGCAACTACAGAAGATTGGGGAAGTAGAGGGATCAGGCTCTCTGCTACTGAGAGTAAAACCAAGTATAAAAGGAGTGCTCTTTTCAAGTGTATTAAGCCCACAGCTTCCCTACTTCACACAAAGGTATGATTTTATTCCTCCAGGTTAGGAATCCTGCTTCAGTGAGGCAAAGCATGCTCCAGGGAAAGCATGCTGTGAAGGCTAGTGACGAAAACTCCACTGCTCCTGCACTTGCAAGCAAACAGGAGCAGGGCACTGCCCATCCAGACATGGCTCAGATACAGGATTATGCCATGTTTGTAATGCAGAAATTCTTAGTCCAAAGTCTGTAAGGCTTATAAGAAGTGCTTTGACACCATCAAGGAGAAGGATATTGGTGACATCACTGTACTGCCTGGGAAATGGAAACTAAAACCTATTTTCAGTGTTCATCATTTTTGCTTGCTTGGAAGCAGGATTTCCATAAAACTACAAAGAAACAAAACCCATTTACCCATCAGAGACCTGGCAGCCCTGTCAAGGTGCTTAGTGTGGGAGCTATATAGACACCAATCTGTATGAGCACACCACTCCCCGGGACCGCAGCGATAGGATCTATGAAATCTGTCAGAATCTGCTTCATGTGGGCACTCCCAGCCTTGTGAGGAAGTTGCTCTCTACTAAATCCGTACTTGGGCCCTGCTGTAGGGGTTAGTGAAAACACCCCTTAGAAGGCAAGTGTTCTTATGCACATTGCATTTTATTATACTTATCAAATATACATGGTATTGGAGAGGAAAAAGAGATCATCGTGATGGGGGTGGGGAAGCAAAATACAAGCTTATGTTATCAAAAGGCCCTTATGGAGAAGGGTGCTGCCAAGCAGGGGTGGGGGAGGAGGGAGGAGAGATATATATAGATATATATATATATACCTTCTTGCATATATATGCATATGCTTACATATACTATAACATATATAAGTATATATATATACACTTTATATATATACACTAGATATAGTATACATAAACTGTATACATAAGGTATATATTCTTATATATAGGTATATATATGCTTACACATACACTATACATATAAGTATTGCATCCTTTCTATATCTAAATATATATATACACTTTTTATATATACAGACACACTTTATATGTACATATATAGTGTGTATATATATAGTATATATAGCGTGTATATGTGCTCTCTATAAGTATATGTTTATGTGTATATATATGTATGCATATATGTGTGTGTATATCTATCTATCTATATCTCCACTGAGGGGCAGGAGAACTCTCTGAAGCAGCAGCAAAGGAGGGGGAAGGAGGGGGCTCCGAACAGCCCCAGGAAGGCGGAAAGAGCCTCCTGAGGAGAGGACAAACCGAGGCATTTCGTTAAACACCAGGGAGCACGCGGCGGGTGAGGAGAGACCCGCGGGCGGCCGGTCAGCGCACACTCCCTCACACCCCCCTGTCCCGCCCCGCCGTCAGCGCGGCGCGGCCACGGCCCCCTCACGGCGGGGCAGGCCCCGGCCCGCCCCCCCCGCAGCCCGGCTCACCGGCCATGCTGTCGGTCTGCGTGCTCGCCGTGCTTGCCGTGGTCGCCGCGTTCGCCCGCGGCCCCCCCGCCGCCGCTTCCTCCGCGCCGTGCATGGGTGCCGGTGCCGCCCGGAGCCCCCCGCCGGCCCCGCTCCGCCTCCATGGCGGCCCCGCCCCCATGGCGGCCCCTCCTCCCGCAGGGCGGTGCCGTCCCCACGGCAACGGCGCTGACGGGCGGGCAGCTCGGCCAATGGGCAGCGGTTACGGAGCCGGGGGCGGGGTTGGCTGGGTGGGGCGGTGGCTCTCGGCGGGGGTCGGGTTGCCCTCGGGAACGGTGTGTTAACGCTGGAGTACGGGGTGAGGGAATGTGCTGAGTTGTAAGGGATTCATACGGATAATCGAAGTGCAACTCCTAGCCCCGTACAGGACAGACCCAATAGTCACACCATGTGCCTGAGAGCATCGTCCAAACGCTTCTTGAACTCTGTCAGGCTTGGTGCTGTGACCACTTCCCTGGGGAGCCTGTTCCAGTGTCCACCCCCCACTCTGGGTGAAGAACCTTTTCCTGATACCCAACCTAAAACTCCCCTGTCACAGCTTCGTGCCATTCCCTCGGGTCCTGTCACCGGTCACCACAGAGAAGAGATCAATGCCTGCCCCTCCTCTTCCCCTCATGAGGAAGTTGCAGGCTGCAATGAGGTCTCCCCTCAGTCTCCTCCAGGCTGAACAGACCAAGTGACCTCAGCTGCTCCTCATACAGCTTCCCCTCCAGGCCCTTCACGATCTTCGTTGCCCTCCTTTGAACATTCTCTAACAGCTTAATGTCTTTCTTACATTGTGGTGCCCTCACCACATACACCTCACCACCGCTTCCCCCCACCCCCGCTCTGCCCAGCAGGGGTCACTTGTCTGGGGTCACCAGGTGCTTAGACGTGGCTGTCATGCTGCCCCATTCCCGGGACGACCCTGCACAGCTGCCCCATCCCAGACTGGCCCCCATTCCCTACTTGGCCCTTGGTGGCCTCCCATGTTAAAAAAGGGATCCAAAGGGCACTCTGGTCAGGACCCCAAAGCTGGGTCAGCATCTGCTCCCAGCTCAGAAGTTGCTCCCATAGCCGGCTGCAAAACAGGTGGCTCATAGCGCAGGGTTTTTCCACGTGTTGGGATCATCTCTCTCTTGCTCCCTGCAAAATGTTTTCCTGTTTTAACTGCCTTGGCTATGTGTGTGGAAAATTATGTTCCTGTCAGTCATTGCTGCAGCACAAATGTTCTTCAAGGGAGATGTTACTCTGGCAAAATCCAGCTTTTCACCTGTGCTGCTGGCTTCCTCTGTGGAACAGGAGCAGAACTTTACCAGGTGGTGTTTTGATGTTAGAAACTGTCTTTCCGGTACAGATTGGTGATATGGTGATCAAACCTCTGTAAGACAATGAGCAAGACCTTGTCAGTGTAGAGCAAGCTATGAGGATTAATCCTTTTTTAATCTTTAATTTATATGTCGTGGCAGTTGTAAGCAGACCAAAACTCTTCTTCTTGTATGAGTTGATGTTCAGGCTCAGGAAGACTGGCTCTGGGATTGTTTCTTTGACTACCCAAAGTGAGAGAAAGGTCGGAAGACAGTAGAAATGGGCTAGTTGTTTTTGTTGTTTCTCTTCCTCTTTTGGTTTTCTTTTTTTGTATGTGTGTGTGGTTTTTTAAATATTTGTCTTGATTTGAGTAAATAATTAATGGTATGTTTGTCTCTGGGACAAGCACTGGGCACCTGAAAGATGAACTAGTTTGAAGGGATTTGACTGCATCTGTTCATGGACTAACAGGTTAGTGAAAGTGTAATTAGAATATACCCAGTATTCATATTTAGTGTCTTTTCTTCTATGAAGATAATGATTTGGAGTTATCCACATAATTACTATTGATTGCAAAAGGGGCTGCAGTATGCGGTAACTTCAAGATTTTGAAACTTAATACAAGGAAATTAATCCCAAAGCTGTGTACATTTATAAAGAAACAATTAATGGTTTGTGGAAGAAATGATCTATCACTGAAAGTGGTTGAGGTATGAGTTAAAAGTAGATGAAATCTTGTGGTCCCAGTGGGCTATGGACAAAGTCTGGAAGGAAAAGAAAGAAGGGGAGAATGACTTTTATGTTGGAGTCATTGAAAAGTAAATGCCCAATTCCTTTTCCAGGAAATAATTTTTGAAGAACAGGCTTTCAGAAGGAACCCAGAAGGACACCCAGACTTTTTGCCTTGTTTTTGTGGGTCAAATCTCATGACAATGCTGTGGAGAAATGAAGAACAGACAAGGTACTGGAAAGCAAAGCTGATACACAGCTGAGATGATGTTAACATCCCCTAATTAGTTTGCTGCTTGAGCTTCCCCTTCTTTTTCTTTGTCAAGAGACAATTTTCCTGAAGTGATGCATGTGGGATTCAAGTGTTGTTCACTGCCCACTGTGCAGCGCCAGTTTACACACCAAGACAAGGTACTTCCATTTCTTTCTTCTAGTTTGCACAAAGTAGGGAGCTGGTGGTAACCCACAATGGGCTGGCTCCCCGATCATCAACACTTTATCTCATTTCCCCGCTTTGAGGATTTGGGGCTTGTTTTTATGACAGGACTCATCAGCCTCACTATTTTTCTTTGCTATCATTACACAAGTTCCTCCTGTAGATTGCACAATCAGCCTCCTAACACAACTTAATGCCATGCAGATTACAATTGTGCAAATGCTTATCGCAGTTATTGTTTGAAGCAGACTTGCTAGCCAACCAGTAAGCGAGAATGCAAAATCATAATATTTTTTTCACCAGCTCTCTTTTGTAAAATTTCTAAGATCTCTACTTGATTTAGCAACTTGTTTTATTTCATCAGGCTGATGATTACAATAACTGCATGTTGTTTGAATTCAGTTCATCATCTCCAATCCATTCTGTGCACCGTGATGCAGTTTGCATATACTGCCATGTTCCTTCGTCAGGCCCTGACAAAATTTGGGGGAAATCAATTCCCCATGGGTAATTTTCACAAGGTAGTTTATTCCAATTGCAGGTGTAGTCATACTTGCACAATAGTATGGATTTGCTTAAACCCATATTCCCAAAATTAATACTTTACCGTCTTTCAGTATATGTTTCACCTGTCTAGACAGGCTTTCTACTATGGCTCTATGAGTTCAATTGAGATCTACTGCCAAATTTCTTAATCCAAAGGATTTTTGGCTGACTTTAGTAATGACATGCTGGAACACTGTGAGTTCTCAGCAATGATTGGATAAGTTGTAGGACTAGATTTCCCTGGATCATTACAAGGCAACAAGAACATATTATGATTTCTTTCAATTTTAGCATTTCCAGGTCTATGTAACAATGAAAAATGAGTAGATTTATGTAAATACAATAAAAAATTTGATAAATGGTTAAAGACCTACTATTATTAATATAAGTCTTTGTGAACAATGTAAATGCTCCCAAGCACTTTCTTCAGTCCAAGGGCAATTCATTTACTATTTTTAGTACATCGTAGTTTAAGATCTCCAACTTATCATGTTATCTTGTTCAGATATCAAGGCTCTTTTTACATGATTGTAATGAATACAGGAGTTGATTCCTTCTACCTTTACAGCTGTGTGTGTCTTCAATAACACCTTTACATTTACTTGTAAGGGTTCATCCTTCCAGGTCTAGGCATACTGTCTCGTGCTTGAAAGCTGTGGGCAACCTCATCCAAAGGAAGCGGGGGGTCAGCTGGTTAAGATGACTATACGGAAAGAAGAAAACATGTGAGAGAGTTAATAGATAATTTCTCAACATGTCATTACCTTTCACATGTGTTTGACCACCTTTTGTCACTACAGTGTCAATTTGACACGATCTGCTATACAGAATTTCAAAGGGGTTTACTCCTTCCCTAACACATGGCGTGATTCAGATCCTGGATTCTCATTAAAGCAAAATCTCTCCGTGTGGGTTCCTTGACAGAGTTTGGCAATTTGTCTTCTGATAGTCTGATTCATCCTTTCTGCTCTTCCACTAGACTGTGGTCTCCAAGGGGTGTGCAAATCCCATTTAAACCAAAGGTGTTTAGACACTCCCTGAACCATCTCTGCAATGAAATTAAGTCCATTTTCTGAAGATAACCCTCTGAAATTTCAAATCTAGGAATTATTTTCTCTGGGAAAATTTTAACAACCTCCCTGGCTCAACTGGTGTGGCAAGGGAAAGCCTCCGGTCATCCTGAAAAGTAGAACAAACAGATATTTATAACATCCACATTTAGGTAACTCAGAGCAGTATTTCCCCAGAGTTATTCCACTTTTTACCTCTCCCGTAGAGGTTTTCTTTGTTATTATATCTGCATGGAACTGCATCTTTGGTCCTAAAGCCTGTCTTTTGATACTACTTGTCATAACATCTGCTCCCATGTGAGTTTCTTCTTCCATCATTTTAGTGTTTGTGAGACCTTGTTGATTTAAAGTGTGTGAGTCACCACAGGCTGGCAGCTGGGATAACCACAAATCCACGGCTAAAACACAAGGAGTAAATTTATTTCCATTATCTCACTAATTGGGGAATCCCTGAAGCAATCTCCAGGCAGAGACACAGGCCCTGTTCAACTCAGTCCATGCCAGAGGATCACAGGCTGCTGTTCACACTGGTTCATCAATGGCTATTCCCAGCTGCAAGGTCACTTGAGTGATTTACAATCCTCCTCAACAGTCTTCTGCTTTTAACCCATTCCCTCCAACACAAAGTTACCCACCAACTTTCTGAATTTTTCTTTTCCCAAGCATCTTTTAGTCCAAAACAGTCAAATAAATATTTTTCTGTGCCTACTTGGTTTATTGCTCTTAACTCCTGTACCAACCTGTATTCCTGAGAGCGAGGCTTCTTTACTGATATGGAGACTCTCTAAGTAGCATTCAGTACTGCATCCAGGATGTTATCCTCAGGTTCCTCTGAGGTCTAGTTCATTAGTGAACAGATTTGAGCCTTTCATGCCTCTTCTTGTGAGATGTATGACTGTACAGTTTTCCGAAAAAGTTATTTGAGAATTTTAACTTGCGTAATAAACCTTAACAATGGAAGGGGACATTCTGGCATACAGAAACTTGTGAGTCAGTTTAGTATTTCCCATTGTACAGTCCATGACTTTTAGGAATGACTGTAAAGCTTTTTTCCCTGTTGCCCCAACAATCAGTGCTGTAACTTTGCTTAGCAGGCCCTTGCAGCTTGTTATTACTGAACATGTGGCTTCACTATTGATCAGAAATCTATTATTTCATTTCTTGGTTTTACTGATACTGGGGGATCTGCTGGGGATGCCCTGATATTTCCCCCCATCCTCTTCACTTGTCAAAAATTTTCCAGCTTCACCATGTTTACATCTGCTAATTGACCCCTCCTGCCTACAAACAGCACATTGATTCAGGCCAAAGGGGTGCCCCCATTCAGACCCCAAACCCTTTGCCTATTGCTCTTCTTTTGCCTTCTTTATTGTTGTGTACTTTATACACACCTGACATTAATTGTGAAATCACACATCTGCCTTCTCTGCTTACTGGAACTTTTTCTTAATATCTGGGGCTGACTGTATGATAAAAAGCATGTTGAACAACATCCTCTTACCCTCACTTTCCAGGTCCAAGTTTGTCCATTTACAAGCCACTTCACGCAACCGCTAACTAAAAGCTGACAGAGGTTCTCTACTTCCCTGCTTTACCTCATACAAATTCACAAGATTCCTAGGTTTTTCCACTCCATTCTGAATTCCATATAGAATAAACATTTGATACATTTTTACTCCTTTTAATCCAACATCTTCATTTGGATTCCATTCAGGATCTTCTTTAGGGAGAAGTTCATCGGCATTTGGTATTCCTGCTAACCTGGTTTTCTGATCTAGCCCCTCGATTTTCCCCTCACCCTGTCCTTCCTTTGTTTTTTTTCCAAAGCTGCTTTTTTATTTAATGAGTAAATAAATATTCTAACAAAGCTTTTATATCTCCCCAGTTGCGGTTATATGTCATCATTGTGGTCTTAATCATGCTATATATCCCATTTGGATTTTTACAATAAGACCCAACATTCTGTTTCCAATTCAACAAATCAGAGATAGCAAATGGTACATGCACATAGACAACTTTCCTGCAGGTCTCACAGCTTGTCCTAAAGGACCCTGACTCACTTATTTACTGTGTTCTCTTCCCCTAGTTCTGCTGGACACAAGCCTTTCTGATTTCCTCCTTTCTCTAACCTTGCCTGACATAGGTTCTGTCAGATTCCTCCTCACCATCTGAATCAGAGTTTTTAGGACCTGATGGAGGATCCACCAATAATTCTACATGTTCATCATTATCACCGAATTTATCATATTTACATTTCACACCACAGATTCTTTCACTGTTTTTGCCCCTTTTCTCAGTTACGGAATGCATTCCAGTCTGATGTTTAAAGGCCATTAGTCCACATTTTTTTCTAACATCCCAACCATTCCTCAAAAAGAAAAATAAATCTACATATGAAATTGCATCCTGTTTTTAATTTATTTGACAAAATGACATTAATTGTAAAATCGTATTAAACTTCAAAGGTCCATTTTCTGGCCATTTTTCACCATTATCCAAATTATACTGTGGCCACCACTGATTACAATACCTCTTCATTTTATTTTTTGTCAGGGGATCCCCTCCAAACTTATTCCAGTACTTTCAGATGCATTCAAGGGGAGAGCAAAGAGGACTTTCTTTAGAAGCAGAGGCACTCATTTTGGTACTGAAAAAGAATTTTCTAAAGCAATGTTTCAGATGCTACAAAATCCAAAAGCATACTAGCAAACAATGCCAATGTTTAAAATTTACCAGGAATATACATGGCCCATAAATTCTACATTCTTTGTACCCACTGTCAGCAGTAAATCCCTCTCACCAACCTTTGCTAACCTTTCCCTAGGTCAGAAATCATTGAAGCGTGTCAAGATCCAAACCTCAACAGGGCAATTCTACCAACAATAATTTATCTTTCTAACGCATGGACATCAACATGAGCACAAAGGGGTTTTTTTTCCCTCCCTAGGAACTCTGTTAAAAATAATAACTGTTCAGAGGACGATCTGAAAATGCAGATGCAGTTGCACTTCTGATGCTTCAAGGAACATTAAATCAGGACGCATTTGATGGTGCTTCTGAAGTAGCTGGCCCCAAAGTTTGGACTCTGCCAATACTGAAAAAGTATGCCTGTAAAAGTTGTCTTCCCCTGAAAGTTATGGTTATGGATGTTTGTGCATGTGCCATGTTTAATATATTTTAATTTCTTCATACTTAACTCAGATGCGGTTTAATTGAACTGGTATTTTACTCTCTGAAGAGAATTCCTATTTATGTACTGCTATGGAAGTGTGAAAGGAGTAGAAGGAAGCCCAAGACTGACATACCACCTCATGTCTATGCAAAATAAACTGTTTGCTGCCTCATATCCCCTCTCCTAGGAACTACTGTAGAAGTGATGCTTGGGTCGTGTTGGCTCTCCGAACAGCTGTGGTTAACTGGAAAACAATTCTGGCTGCCTCATGTAGTGGCCAAGTATATTGTTTCAGAGTTCAGTGGGGATTTACCTTTGCAGAAGATTGCAGCTACATGCCTTAATGGGCCAAGCCAGACTGGAATTGGATTCCAGAAAGTTATTTTCTGCAACAAGCAGTTCAGCTGCAAATGGTGCAGGTGGAGCAAAACCCAGAACCTCTGCTATTGCACTTTACTTTCTGGTGTTATGAGGGATTTGGGGTTATGCTCTGACAGTTTATTCAGCTTTCATCATAGGCATCTAGAAGGATCAGCCATCATTAATAAGCTTTGCTGGGCTTCATGGTCTGTTTAAAAAAAGGCATCTACCTATGACCTCTGGGCTTTTTGACCAGAGTCTCTGTGATGGAGTGTTTAATGTCTCTGCCACTTTTTCTAAATATCATGGTATGTAAAAGCTTCTCTGTGAATAAATTTTTGGAGATAAATCCATAAACTGCTGTCATGTATAAAACCCAAAATAATTATTCACAGTCAGTGATAATAAAATCCCATCTTGAAGAGTTTCAGAAGTGAGTCCTGGACCATCTAGACTAAAAAGACTAAAGACTAAGAGAACCAAAAATTACTAAAAGAATTCCTAAGGATGTGCCCTAAAACAATACAAAATCTTTTGAGTCTCAAATCAAGTAAAAATAAGCCTAGAAACTGGATAAGAGCATGACTTAGGTTATAAATAGTTTCTTTTAAAGGATCCCTTTGTTTCCTGTATGGTCTAAAATTAATATCTTTGCTGTGCATGTATTACATGACTATCTCAAGTGAATTATTTTTCCATTTGGAAAAATTCCTTCGTAGACTCTCTCTGTATGAAAGACTGCAACAATGACATCTGCATTTTCACTCACCAGTCTCTCAAATGTGACTGGACCATTGCTGTAGGAAGAGGAGAGACATTTTGTGTTAATGTAGACCTGCAGCAAGCAAAAGGGTAACACTTTTCAGTATGTTTTTCTCCTGGTATCCCAAAGCCAAAAAAAGACTTGCAAGAAGTCTCTCTGCTCTGTTACACTTTGAGGTGTTTTTTCTTTTTCCCACTGTGTTAGAGAATCATCTTCTTTCACCAGTAGCTTGCTGATTCAGACACAGTATTTGACTTGTGTGCCCTAGGGTTTCCATTCACAGCTGGGCATGGAGATGGGGGTTTTGGTGGTCAGTAAGTCCAGAGTAAGTTGAATTCAAATTCACAGCAACATTCATCTGTAAGTTGCTGTTACCTGTGCCAGAGTCATCCTCATAAGAGGGAAGGCAGATGATTTCTAGACGTCTCATTCTACACTGGGATTTCATCTAATTATGATTTTGAATTTGAAAGCTCTAGGGTGGAGTGGGACTAAAGGATTTGCTGCTCCTGTTGGCCTCCCACCAAAAGCTGCAAGTAAAAGCTAGAGAGCAGCTGATGGCAGCATCTCTGTGGAGCATGAAGAGGGTGCTCATTCACTCCAGGATCAAGAGAGACCATGTCATTCCCTAAAATCTGTTGCAAGAAGAATGGCATCAACCCTAATGCAGAAAGCTTCTCTGCCTACAGGCTAAATGTGCTTCTTTTGGCAAGATTACAGTGAAGTAGAAGATGGTAGTAATGAGGAAAAGGGGTTCTTAGCCTTGCTGTACCTTTTGTATATAATTCAAGGCAATTGAGCCTTTCCAGTTAACAAGCACATTAGCCTCAGAGCTGCAATTTTGAGTACTTTACAGATCAGCAAGAATTTCTGAATGGCCTTTTCTCCTTGAATCAGATCTGCTGGATAAACCTACTTCTCCTCTCAACATCTTCAGTTTGTTCCTGCATCTACATCCTGGATTTACAAACCAAATTCATTACAAACCAAGTTCATTCAGTGATTGATTGCTTAACACTCCTTTCTCCCCACTCCTTTTTCTTTACTTAGCAGACCCATTTGCTAGGATGCCTCATTCAAAGTGTCCCAGAAGGCTCTCATTGGTGATATATTATGTTTTGATTTGATAGATGACAGAAAGCTAAAGCTCACTGTGCCAAAATGTCCTTTGGAAGTTGTCGCGTCCCATGTGTTCTCAGACCGCTGATATGTTTCCCTTGTGCGGGTACCTTGTGATACCTCCAGTGCTATGAAGCTGTTGTGATTGTCTCGGCTGATGAATTTAAGGATCTTATCCTCTGGAATAATTTAATAGCCATTCAGTTTAACTATGTTTGCAGTGCTCATTCAAAATTTGGTGAGATGCTTTTCTGGGCTTTTCTTATGCTTCTTGTATGGCTGTCAGTAAATTTTTACACCCTTATCTTGATGGCATCAGTGGACTGAAAATCTCATTCACCATCGCCACCTCTTTTGGAGTTGATTTTCTGAGTTGATTTCCTGCATTGCAGTACCTGCTTCACAGTATCTTTCTGTTTCTGTGCACTACAGGTTTTAGATCCTGAAACATGGTTTCCTCCATCACTATTGACTCTCTTAAGGCAGATGACTTTACACCTACCTCAAAATCTTAGCTGGAGTATCATGATAAACAGTAAAGCTGATAATCTGTTTAAAGACTAGAGCTTACTGTGCTAATTTTTGGGGTTTCGGATCTTTATCAATCTCTAGGTGTTCCACTCTGACTATTGGTTTACCTTCTGGATTTAAAAATAAAACCCCTCCTCTTAGAAGATGCTATTAAGCATCACTTAACAGCTATCAGTTCATGTTGGCCTATCAGTTCATGTTGGAAATGTCTGATATTTGTTTGTACCATGCAAACACAACAAGCTGTTCTTTTTATCTCTGCAAGCCATGTTTAAGGAGTTTTCTGCTGGGGCTACGTTTTTTGACAACTCATTGGAAAATAGCTTTTGCTCTGGTGTCAGGTAAAACCAGATACATTCTTTGATCTCATCAGTCTGTTAAGTATGTAAAAATATCTGTTAGTCTAGTAATTGAAATGACATCAAGCAAGCAAACAACTGGGAATTAATTACATTAACGAAAACAAGATAGGAAAATAAATCCATTTATAATCAAGAAAGCAATTTCTTCTTTTCAGTGCATTGCAATGAAGGAGGTTGCATTACCCTGTTGGAGGATAGGGTCTCACTGAGGGACAGTGGCATCTGCTGCACGTCTGCTCAGCCACAGCTCAGTGCTCAGATGGAATGTAAACTTGGGAGCTCTGATACTCCAGGCTTACAGAGTTGAGTTTGTTCATGCTCTGTTCTCTGAAGCTGCTGTGTTTCACCTCTGTGATGGATGTGCTCAACTTCTTGACCAAATTAGTGGTAGTTTGGTTCAGTCTCCAAAGGAAGAAAAGGCATAGGCCATATGTAACTGGGCCAAGAACTTCTCTGGTTCCATCCTATTCTCTATCCGTGCCAGATGCCCACACATCTGGAGTAGCTGCTGATTTAGATGACCAAAATTTATATGTCCAGCAACTGAGTGATGAACTGTTGTTCCAGCAAGCCATATTAACCAACTGCATTTTATGCCCATGTTATGCTTTAAGCTGCAGTGCTGTCTAAGTTTCCTTTAGATATTTGCATGTGCATACACACATCCTTGCAGTTATGACAGGAACACAAGTTTAATTGATGTATTGCTACTGTGCTTTGAATCTCCAATGTTATTTAACACAAGTTAACTTTTTATTTGCCAAGAAACATTTAGCAGTGTCCTATACATCAAAGTGTCAGACAAGGTTTTATGTTAGAAATTATGGCTTGGGAAAAGATAAAAACATACCTTTCAGAAGAGGCTGGAATAAACGGCAAACCTTTTTCATGTGTTTAAATTCTTCTAGGAAATGTCTGTATAACTCTGATACAGATAGCAACCTCAATATCACACAAAAAACCCTGTATAAATGAACTTGCAACAGATATGCTTGCTTTATAAAGCAGGATACTGAAGTATGCACAGCAGAAAGGGAAATATTTAGAGTGTGTGATAGCAGAAGCGTGATTTTGATGGCTTAGATGCTGAGAGGGAAACCTGCCCTGAGCAGGAGCCCCTCCAAGAGTATGTACCCATACCTATATCCAAGTAATGCCCTGGGGACATTACTGTGGGATTTCAACTGATCTCCCAAGACACAAGCCAGGGCACATTGGCTATGCCTAGGTTGCAGTAGAAGCAATTGTAGTAGAAGAGCAATCTTTGAGGCATCTGTAAGAAGTGTTCTTCACTGTTTTCTTTGTTTCTATCTTATATAGCTGCTATACAGTCTTTGCAGATAGCCATGTTGAGGGTCCTTACATGGTGGTTGTTGCTGGACACATGGAATCTCAGGTCCAGTGCAGGCCATGCTTGCATGCATGCATGCATGCAGGCTTTTAATACAGTGTCTTGTGTTAAGCATTCCATCTGTAATGTGGCACAGGGCTTGGACATCTTCCTGACCACTCTCCTACCATAGGTTACCCAGCCTGCTTTTCATACTTTAACCTTGCTGCAAGTGGAGACCTAGGATGGTAACACTGAAGTGGGAGATCCAGGGCTGAAGGTTCAGCCCCTGGGGGCACTTTCTGGCCCACAGTATTTTAGGTTCTGAAATACTCACTGTGCCAGGAGAAGGTCCTGCTGGACAAGCTGCAGAAAGGGTAAAAAGAAGCAGGGAGATGAACCAGAGACCTCCTGCAAAAGCTTGGGCTTTAAGTCTCTACATCACACTCTGTCTTCATCACTCTCTTTTTCATTGCTTTGAAAACCAGCAAGATTAGGAATCATAAAAGTCAGTTTGACAACAGTGAAGACAGCATCTGTCAAGTCTACAACATGGAGGCAGCAAAAATGGTTTTGCAAACCCTCCACCTCTCTCCTGCTGTAGGTGCTGTAGGTGCTAGTACCCTCCTTGTGAGGG